TGTTAATGAGGGAGCAGGAGAAAATTATCATGGCTCTAATTTCCTTTTAATAAATAAGACTTACTTACTTTTAAGATTATAACCTAAAACACCTTTATGAACAAATTGCACTCATGTAGTCTCATACCTGAATCCAAATTTTAAAAAAATTACTCATTCTTTCTAAAAACGTTGACTGAACCCAAGTCTTCAAGCCCTTGAACCATCTTACTGAGCACTTATTAAAAGCCTCAAATATATGAGCAGTATGCACAACCCCATTTAGATCAGAATTATTTCGATGGTTTGTAGCATTTAATCAAACAACCGAAATGGTTGACAGGCAGTTTCTGCTGGCCGCACAAGAACCCATGCCACTGTCTGAATGGCAACCATGTATGCATATGGAGGAAGAGGGAAGGGCATTAATGCTCCCCTTCAGTTTAGTAGTCTAAGTGTTTAAGGATGAGAAACCTGGGTTTAAAATAACCTGGGGTAGAAATGAATTCAGGCATGATTGGCTGTAGTGTCATCCACTTAGAAGGCTTACTCCCAGAGCACAGCTGTGGCTTACTTAATCTACTCTCTTTCCTGCAGTTTACAGAATGTCAAAGACAAAAGAAATTTTTGTTTAATAAATTTTGGCAGTAATTTATTTAGGCAGATTCTTAGAAGCAACAAAACACACTTCCTTTACCACCTACAATCTTAGCTTCAGTCAGATTTAGAGCCTTACATGTAAATCCCATGTAATCAGGGTTCATGTTACACTTTAGCTCTTGGGGAGGTCTGCAAAAAAAAAAATTGGGCTGCCCATCAAGATGCCCTAATAAAATTGGAGAACCCCCAGGTTATGATCTTCAAATTGTACCCGGGGGGGGGGGGGGGGGGAATGCCCCCCTGAGCTTCCTGTAATTCTAACCCTGCATGTAGTGACCAGAGAAAATGCATGAATATAGTACATAAGGAGTGCATCTGCACATGACGCTACGTCACCATAGCAACACACTACAGCGTCGTAGCATTGGATGTCATGAACCGTAATGCCACAGCTATGTCACTGTAGCAACACGTTCCCTCATTATAGCATGCTACTATGGTGGCATAGCAGGTAAAAACAACCGTATATAGGGCATAAGGGCACATGTAGATGTGCCCAATGTGTACTTTAAGAAAACCTCCAAAAAACAGAACATGTGATCTAGTTGATCCCAGTTCAGAATAAATGCAATCCATTGTGCAAAGTTTAGCGATAAACTCGAGTAACCATCAAATATTGAATCCAAGTTACAAAGCTCTAACTTAGGAACCCAGCTGTTCAGTTAAAGATACAGAATGGTAAACCAGGGACAAGGACATGAGAAAACACTACCAGCTCACACATATATGGAGTTAGTGCATTTCCTCACTTATTAACTGATTTTAACCTATTTACTTGACCTTAAACACAAAATTCTCATTATTTCTACAGTAATATATACGTCTCAGTTCTAACCTTCACTGAAGGCAGTTTGAGAGCTACCAAAGACTGTTTTGTCACGACCATGAATGAGAAAGACAAAATACCATTTAAGTTGGTCAAATGTGTTCACATTACACTAAAAGGCTCAAACTAAAATTAAATTTACAGTTTCTCAGAAGATGTCTGTTGTTAAACACCAAGGATTAGCCAGATGTCACACGTAACACATTGCTATTACAAAGTGAAGCTATTGCATTAACTTGATAAATCAAAAGGATACAATCATTAGTCAGTGGAAGGATCATATTAGTCTTATACTACCTAATTATACCTTACATTCTGGATCAGCAAACGTGTTGGACCATTATTATTTAGTTTACGAAGGAGCAGTTGCCATTCCAAGCTGGAACTGCAAGCAGAAAGAGGCTGTGTCTACATGAGACGCTACTGTGCAGTAGCAACAAGCTACTACACAGTAGATCGGTGCAACTTTGCAGTAGCGTTGGAGGGCATTAACCATTATGTGACGCCACTGCACAGTAGCGTGAGAAAAAAACCCGTGCAGGGAGGCTACTGCACAGTAACACTGGTTACTGTGCAGTCATTTAGTACTTGATTATGCAAGTATTAAATGACCGTACAATAACAACAGCACAGTATGCCACTCGTATAGATGCAATATATCCCAGTTGAATCTCGCTCCTACTGAAGTCCTAAGACTCACAGTAAACTATGGATAACTTTGTTATGCAAGCATACAGCTTTTATAGTTAAATGCCAAGTTCTATCTGCAGGACTTTGCAAACAAACAAACAAACAAACAAACAAACAAACAAACAAACGGTTGCCTCCACCCATTGTACTAATCTTAATACATATAACTTGAAATTATCCAGTATTAGAAAGATAAAGTGACAAGTTCAGATTAAAAAGGCACACATATACATGGCAGTCAAGTCTTTCAAGGTCTGTTATTTCAAATCATATTTTCTCTCTCTCCACTTATGGATGACATAAGTGTTTAAGGGAACATTTCCTCTTCTTCCAACATTTGACACCTGCTGATGTCTTTAGAAAGACCTGTGAGGGCTGGGCATTGTCAGCAATCATTGCCAAATAAACTTTACTGGAAAATGTTGTAGCCGTCATCATCACTGCTCTGTATTTCATTTTGGCATTCAAACAATTCCACCAATATAAAAAACCTGGAGTTAACAAGAGACTAAGTCTGCCCCAGTACCATCCATTTTTCTTGTGTTCAATTTAGTCAGGAGTTACCCAAAATCCTAATATTACTTAAGGATGTATGGCCGCATGGGTAGCCTTGCCCCTTGACTCTGCAGGGAAACAGGGAACAGTGCAGGCAGCTGGCTCCAGTGCGTGGAGCTTCCCTCCAATAGCATGAGTGCAGGGCTGCGCATGTACAGCAGGGAGCACTGGCAATCGAGGCAGGCCAGCTGGGCTGTGCCTTGCTGAGATGTGCAGCACTGGCCAGTCATGTGCCACTGGGCACCAGCACCAGCCACAAGTGCCCTGAGTGCCCCTGCCTGCTGCTGCCACCTGCCAGGGCTACACACAATGGGTGGAGTGCAGGAGGGTCCCCACACCCCCTCTCACACCTACACTCTGCCCACCTGAACTCTGTGCTGCCACCTCCCTGGGCACGGGCTCTATACTGCCACCTGCCTCAGCCTCACACTCCCACCCAGCTGCAGCTCTGGCCCTGCTCCTTCCCTACCTGGTGCCCAGAGTGAGCAGGATGCCAGGAAAGCCAAGCAGGTCCACTGGCAGCTGCAGCAGCCCTGCCCAGAAGCTGCTGCTGGCTGGACTAGGCCCTTCTGCCCACAAAGGTGGGAGGAAGGTGCAGTAGGAGATGTCAGCAGGGGGTGTATACATGGACGCCTCGCTCCTACCCTCATCAGCGAAAGGACTGGGTGGGGTACAATTAGTTGGAGAGTGCCACAGGCTGGATGAAAGTGCCTGGTGGGCCGGATGTGACCCACAAGATGCATTTTGCCTGCCCCTGGCACAGACAAAATCTGGAGAGATGTTAGTCAGTAGACAAAATCTGAACAGGATAATGCAAGTCACAGGATTTTGGTGGTTTTTTTGGGGTGTACAGCTCAAAAATTCTCACCAGCCTAAAGAAATACTGTACTAACCTATTTTTAACAATTAGACCTCATCTTCCTTATGTAATGATCTTATAAAACTGGCAGCATTGTACAGCATGCCCACATGCACTCCAGCTGTTTCCTTTTCACAACATTCAGCCTTAAGCTTTAAAACAAAAGTGTTAACAGTGACAACACAATGAAGCCAGAGGATATCCTTATTTATTCTTTCACAATACATATGGTGGCAATATTCTTCACTGGGTAAAATCTATGGCCTTTCAAGTTCTGATTCTTAAGTATACAAGACCTCATTATATCCAGGTTCGTGAGGTCACACCCACAGACCAATCCCATGCCACTCACCTGGCCTGCAGAGCCAGAAGGTTGGGCACCACTAGGCTAGAAGTACAATAATTTAGGTTTGTATTTTGCTACTTAGATAAAGAAGCATAAATTGAGCAGTCTAGGAGCCTGTATTTGTGAAAGAAGTTGAGGCAGGTTCCACAAACCTAATGATCTTTCTCTCAGACTTTCACAGCCATCTGCCTGCAGCATGAAGTTCAACTTTAAGTCAGAGTCCTTTGCTAAATTTAAGAACTAATGTGCACTGCTCACACATAAAACATGCTCAACGTTAACTCCTCCCAAGCTTTCAACTGTGTTATTTAGCAGTTACTAGAGTTAAATCTGATCTTAAAGCTACTGGTACAAGTCTGCAATCAGTTTGTGCCAATTCCATTAACACAAACATAACTCTTCACCAGACTCCAGCCTTGTGCATCAAGTATTCTTGGAAGTCCGAATATGTCTGCAATTTCAGCTCATTCCATATACTCACCTAAGCCTGCTATCTAGAATTACACTTACATTTGGCATGCTAAGCTCTCTTTGTCCCCATTAATTAAAGTATTGTTTCCACGTTAAAAAAAAAATCTTGTTAAAGTTGCTCATGCCAAGCTAGCCAATGCAGTTGAGAAATTGATATAACAGCACCCACTGTATTCTCACACTAACCTTCGTATAGGTGGTGTGCCAGACCCCATCTATAGAAAAACCAAGTTTGTTAGAAGCCACAATTATACAAACAGCATGGCATTTAACTGGTTTCTTCAGGTCCAGTGTACACACTCATTAAACCTACTACACAGAGTAGGCAAAACTAACAAGCTCTACTTTCTTACAAGGTAGCAAACTGGTCGTTAGTGGTCGCAGAAGAACGTTCATCATCAACAAAAATTAAAGATGTCTAATATACCAATATCCTCAGATGCAATATTTTGCTTACCTACCATGCCAAAATGTTTCATGTCCCTTTAACGACTAACTTGTTTAAGAAGCATTTCACTGTTTTTTCCAAATTTATTTTAACATGTAGCTCATAAATGCTCACTACTAGTCAAAATATCCTAACAGACATCTTTGATTTCATTCCCAAAATGTAGAGTCTATCACCATCCTGCATCTACCAAGTACACTGCTGAAATGGCACACCTGGATTTCCTCAAGTATGGAATAAATAAGCTATTGCCATTAGAATGAAGCAGTGCATTTTTATTGTGTAGTATTCAGCCTTTTTAATTGCTGGCCTTTTCTAAAAGATTTTCCAAAACTCTCCAAACCATTATCCCCGTTGATACAACTTGGCCATTACAAAATGTCACTTATCTAGAAGCTTACCAGAATAATGAAGCCAAGAATTGGTTCATTACTGACTTCTACTACTGTATTTAGACTCAGTGCTCTCCCACAAGTTCATCTGTTCTATATTACACTCAAGGAGTTTAAAAGGTCTTCAGGTTTCACACCCAAGTAGCCCTGAAAAACAGCAGAAAAAGTAATCTCCAAACCCTTGCCATACTATGTGAAATTATCCATTTTCACAAAGAAAATCACTGCTCCATGGCTCACTTGTCCAGTGCCAAGACAAGCACTGTCCCTCCACAGTCAGAGTTATAATCACCAGTGTTTCTACCAGGAAACAACTAAATTGAGCCATCTACTTGGCTGAGGGGATGGACAAGCTTAAGACTGCAATAATACAGCTACTTGCCTCTTAGCTTCTACACTAGCTGCTTTAACAATCTCCAAAGACACACGGTGTTTTTCAATTTATAACTTCTCTTGCTGAGTAAGAAGTTAATCCTCTAGCACAGGCGTCCTCAACCTCAGATCCATGAGGCCATGACCTCCAGCCTGCAGGGATCACCCTGGGTTGGAAAGTTTGGCAGCAGGGAAGCCATAAGAGCTCCACGTGGCTGAATCCTGTTCCGCTCAGGTCACTATCAGGGTCACCCCTTCCCCCTGCACATATGAATCAGGGTCACACTGCCCTCTTTCCCCTCCTTCATGCATCTAGATCAAAGCCACACCACAGCCACACGTGCCCCTTGTCTGGAGCTCCAGGACAGATATGGGGAGATGCAAGGGGCTTACTTACCACACGGGAGCCAAGCATCACATCACCCTTAATGGGGTCTTGGAGCACTGACACTGAGGTAAGAATCACCGCCTTAACTGCACAATACAACAGCAGTCACAGTTTGTTGTTTACCAAGGGTGTGTGAACTGGGCCGTATTCAATTCAGATTCAGCCCGATTCAGGGGACAGTGATTAGATCTGCTGATCTGAATCACTGTCCTGATTCGATTCAGCCAAATCCAAATCTGAAGATTCGATTCCAATTTGGAGAATCAGCAGTTCAGCCATAGACATAGTTTTATATGTTTTTTCTACGTACCTTGAGGTACCAGGCATGGCTCGCGAACACCAAGATGCTGGGACGGATGAAGCATCCCACAGAAGTGCCGGGCAGAAGGGTGGGGGGTGTCCCCCTGCGTGCTCAGGAGCAAACCCAGAAGTGGACCAGAAGTACTTCTGGTCTGCTCCCAGGTCCACCGCCAAGTGATCTGGGCCCCCCCCCACATACTCCCATGGGACCCTCCACCATCAGTCCCACCATCTCAGCATTCATGAGCCACCTGGTACCTTGAGGTATGTAGAAAAAAAACATAAAAAGCTGTGTCTGTGTCCGAATTGTCGCATATTTCCGAATCGGATCAGAGGCTTCCGATTCAATTTGGAGAGATTAATGGGTCTCCCAATTCAATTCGGAGATTCAGCCGCCGAATAGAATCAGCGACCGAAGCTTTGCACAGCCCTATTGCTTATATTATAACCAATTCCAGTAGGTAGTTATCTACATATCCCTTTAACATATAAAATGTTTAAGTAAATAAGCTTCTACTTTGTGCATAAAATCTTCTCCTTTGGTAACTATTTGTACAGTTTAACAGACAGTGAAAATGAAGCAATTCTCTAATAGTTGCTAGAAATATTTAAAATGATCAATTTCATACCCACTAGCTACTGACCACGTACCCAACTTCTTAAGGTTTCTAATATTAACCCCAAAACTGATTTAAGAAGTTGAATGAAGGCTAGCTAGTCAGTCTCAGAGTTAATACCACAACATCAGAAGGTCTGTGTATATAGTGAGTATCATCCACGCTCTGGATAAGCATATAGGTATTTTCCAGTTTATGATGCAAACCATATTCAATATTCCCCATTCTGATCACAAGTAGTGCAGATGCTTTCAAATGATGTAATTTGATTAATTCCCAAATTTTTCAGGAACTAGTTTCTTATAAAGCAAG